GGTCTATTGCTGATTATCAGTTTCAAAAGGTCACTTCTTCCTTACTAAAACCATCCTCACGGATGACCTTATTTATGGACAGACAAGCCAGATGAAGATTTTGTATAAGAGGGAAATTAGGAATGTGGGTCAGTAACTGATGTTTTCTCAGTTGCCTGTCTGAGAAAAACCATGATTGTTTCCAAGTCTTGGTATATTCCCCTTTGGAAACCTTGGCTATCATTCCATCCTCACCTTCACAATTATGGCTCCTCCAGCATGGATCACACTTATGTTCATTTCGTCCAGCAGAGTTGTTTGACTCATCTGTGTTCTCTGTTTGTAATTCTACCTCCCTTACAAACACATGTGGGACTATTCTATTAGGATTCAAGGGCAGTAGTTCCATGGCTCTTAGTGTATAAAACATTTGTTGTAATAATCTTTATAGATCTTTTCCATTTTTCTCCTATTTGACTCCCTCCTTCCATTTCTGTCCTTTAAAGGCATTTGCAGTTGAGATTACTCGCTTAGTTGCTATTTCTTCCAAGTTTAAAAAAAAAACAAAACAAAACCAAAAAGCCAACAACCCTCTAATGCTCTTCCCTACTTTATGAGATATTTCTCCTAATCATCCACCATCCTTCATAAAATTTTACAAACAAGTTTATGTTTTAAACCACTGTTGGCTTTGGCAGTCGTCTCTCTACTTGGCAATTGCAGTAAGTCAAATGTTTGCTGACTAAGGTGCTTTCTAGGCTTTTCTGGTATTCTTGTCATAATATATTTACAGTGGTTAAACTCGGGTATAAAATAATTGTAATCAGTGCTGATGTCATTTCTGATGTCCATTTCTCATTATTGATTTCTTATAATATCTTAATGGACAAGATACCTTGTTTGAGGATAGCCTTCAAAGATATATTTAATTCAACTGAGTGAAATGCTTTTTTAAAAAAATCACTCAACAATAGATACAGCAGGATCTTATTTTCTCTATAACCCTATAGTCAGTCCTGTGGCATTAAAGATGGAGTCCATGATAGGAAGTCACCTACAAAACTCTATCGCTTACTCTTTTCATGTTTTCATAAATCCTCAATTCATGCATTCTCATTGAGACTTTTCCAGCAACAATTTTTTTGGAGGGAGGTAAAAGTATCATCTGTGAACCTTCTTATTCTTTTGAAATCTTTATACTACTTAAGAGAGTTTGAAAATCAATTCCTAGGCACCTTAAAAATTGTGTCCTTTCCAAAATGACATATGTATAGATTTTCCATATGTATCTGATCACGTCTAGGAGCTCTTTTGGATAACATTCTTAAATGTCTCTGTCATTTCTGAACATAGGTGAAAGATATCAAATGTGGTAATTCTACTAGCATTGCTAACAAATGTAGATCAATACAGTAACATTAGCAGATCTGTTCTATTTTGTGTCTTTTATCCTCACTCCAATTTCATTTCCAAATGCTATCTAGATGATTGGACACAGCCAGATCTCATGCAAAGCTGGCTGCAAGCTTATTTTCCCTTAAAAAACTTTTCACTATACTATAAAAACATACTGCTCAAAGTGTTCTATTTTCCTTCCTAATGTACTTTAAACTGATGTTATCCTCGGTTACCATGTCTCTCCACTTAACAAGAAGATTAAATGTTTTCTCTAACTCGTCTCATTTAATTTCGCTTTGGTGACTTCTTAAAAATTGATTATAGTTTTTAGTAATAGAATTAATACCTTTACATTTATCCATTTCTCATTTTAAAAAATTAATAGTCTGTCTAGGTTAGGTCAGAACTACTGTAATCACGTGTGTTCTTTACCCTCTAATCTTTATCCTTCCGTTTGTTATTTAATCAAAATTTTTTTTTACTCTAACTGATGGTCTGATTACACATAGATATGATTTTGTCAACTTCAAGCTATCTCTCAAGTAGAAGCTAGATTACCACTTAGTCAATAAGCACTTATTTAATGCTACAATGTGCCAAGCTCTAAGCTAAGCAAAAAACAGTTGCTGCTCTCAAGAAGCTTATAGTCTAATGGGCGAGACGACATGCAAACTATGTAGAAATGAAGCCATATACAGGACAAATGGGAGATAACCAAGATGGGGAAGGCACTGGTATTATGGGGAATCAGGAAATACTTCTTATAGGTGAGATTTTTGCTAGGACTTGAAAGAAGCCAGGAAGGCCAGAAGATGGGGATGAGGAGGGAAAGAATTCCACGCATGGGGGACAGTCAGTGAAAATGCCTAGAGTTGGGTGATGGAGTATCTTATGTGAGGGAGAGCAAGGAGACCAGTGTCACTGGATTATACCGTATGTTGAGGGGGTGAGGGGATGGAGGAAGGAGTTAAGGGTGTAAGATGACTGGATAGGTAGGAAGAGGCCAGGTTATGAAGAGCTTTCAATATTAAACAGGATTTTCTCTTTGCTAGGGATATTTAAGAGGGGAGGTATGGCTATGAGTTGTGCTTCAGAGATCTCTTACAACTCTGGGAGTCTACTATTCTAATAACTCCTTTATTTACCTATTCAAAGACAACCTATGATGCATTCTTTCATTAAGCTAAAACTTTTGTATGTCTTCTGGTTTCAATAATATGGGAGTAGTTCAGTTATTTCTAAACAACTAGGTTCCGATTAGTGTGAAGTGATCGCATTTTGCAATGTGCACTATTCCAAGTAAAATGATATGTAAAATATGTTAATTAGGTCCAGCTCAAAGGAAATATGCAGTGCAAATTCAAATAATGTGACCACTTAAAAAGGACTCATTATTTGCACTAATTGGGACCTAGCTTTAATGTGTTAAGTCAACTTATTTTTACCTAAATAAAGATCACAAGAGAAGAGTTTAATTAACTTTTATGGAGAGTTTAAGAACTGTGACTCTTAGCACCCCTTGCCACCATCATTCCATAGGCTAAAGGCCCCCACACAGGACAGAGAGTCATTTTGGATTTTCAGTCATTTTATGGGTTGCTTTGGCCAAAAAAAAAAAAAAATCATGAAGATGACTGATAATGAACTTCTCCGAATCTAGCTAAGCTGGTCCTTGGGACTACACTCCTAAGAGAAACCAGAGTCCCTCCGTACCAGGAGGAAGTACTGGAATAGAACCTAAGTGGCAGTATGTGGCGCACACGCACTAAGGTTCCATGATATAAGTGATTTCCATGGGGCAAATTCTAACAAGGAGATCTCATCGGTTTCTTAATTTGGATTCTTTGCTGCGTATGCATCTCAAAAGACTTGGTTCTCTTGTTTTATTTTACCTATATTTCAAAAGTTAATCTAATTTAAGCAGACATTCAGGCCCCTGCCTGGCACCAAACATGTGCAGTCATTTCCTTTCCATGGCACTCCAGCCCACAGGTTTCTGCTCAGGGGCATTAAGCATATCAGCAGCCTAGAAGGACACAGGCTATCAATCTCTTCTTACTTTACAAGCTCAAAGGATAAAAGCATTCTAGAGCTGGAATCTTAGAGATCATATCATCTTTTTCATCTCCTCCTTGCCCCCACTGGGCCTAGAGTCAGATAGATCTGAGTTCAAATCTAGCCTCAGACTGGATATATGGTGCCCAGCAAGTCTTTTAACCTCTATTTGCTGCATTTTCCTCAACTGTAAAACAGGAATGATAACAGCACTGACCTCCCAGAGCTGTGAGGATCAAATGTGATAATATTCACAAAGTGCTTAGAATAGTGTCTGGCACAGAGCAGGTGCTTAATAAGGAAGGAAACATATGTGTTTTAAGGGTACCAATCCTGAGAGGTAGGTACTATTATTATTCCCATTTTACAGTTGAAGAAACTGAGGCAGCAAGAGGTAAAGTGTCTTGTGCAGTATCACACAGCTCTATGAGTATCTGAGGCTATATTTGAACTCAGATCTTCTTGACTTCAGGTCTAGCACTCTATCCACTGTACCACCTAGCTGCCTTAATAAATGCCTTTTTCTCTCTCCTTCTTACCTTTCAGATAAGAAAACGAAGGCACAGAAGTTAAGGAACTTGCTAAGAAAATTAATTACTAATTAACTGAAAGCTACTTAAATTCAATACACTTTTATTAAGTGGTGACTGTGATGGGCACCATGCTGGGTGCTGGATATGCAAAGACAAGTTCCTGTTCCTAAGAAGCTTACATTTTACTGGAGGAAATCACCACAGACACTGAGGAGTAACTAAATAACAAAAACAAAGATGATACAAAGTCATTTTGGAGGCATGAGGACAGCACTGACGAGAACTGTGATCTGTTCTAACTTGTGGCACCAATCCCCCCACACACTATTATTCCATGCTGTCTCCTTTGTCAAGGTCATCTGAACAATGTCCTCTACTTTCCCTAGAATATCTGCCATTTTGTGGAACACATTTATATTAGTGAGCAAAAGAGAAATCAAGTTAAACATCCTAATAGATTTGAAATATAGAATGGAACCTTTTTAAAATTCCAGGCAATGGAAGAGAGTGCCAGGCTGCCCATAAGTCAGGTAAATCACCTATCCTTTCTATTTCTGAGTTTCCTTAACTGAAAAACTGAAGTACTATCCCCTTCTCTTCCATCCTCACAGGGTGATGAAGCAGTAAAATGAGATGACAGGTACAAAAGTACTTTGAAAAGGTATGAAAGTAAAATACTATTGCTTTTCACTGTACGAGAAGGTGGTCTGCCATAGACCATAGTCTGCCTCCGGTAGGAAAGCATACAAAGCCATTCATTTTAATTCCCAGTGAGACAAGTTCTGAAAACATTTTACTGTAAAATGGTCTGAAAAAGGAAGAGAGAAAAAGGGAAAAGAAGAGAGAAAGAAAGGGAAAGGAAGAGAAAGGGAAAACAGAAGAGTAAAAAAGAAAGAGAGAGAAACAAAGAGAAAGAGAGAGGGAAAGAAAGATGAAAAGAGAGAGAGAAGAAAAGAGTGTGAGAAAGGGAGAGAGAAAGAAAGAGGGAAGGAGAGAGGGAAAGAGGGGGAGAGTGATTTACTATACTTTTCTTACCACAAGGACATGTTCCAATAGATCCAGGTATCCTAAGGTGCATTCAGTTCCATATCGCAAAGCTCGGGCTTTCACATCTTCAGCAACATCAGCATGATATGAAGCTTGCTAAGGAGAAAAAGGAAGAAAGACCTTAAAACACGAAGAACCAATCATATACTAATCAAAGCAGAGAAAGGAAATTTCCCCCAAATTCATAGGATCATGGAGGTAGAGCCGGCAGGGATAGAGATCTCTTTTTATTTTTTTTTTTTGGCAATTGGGGTTAAGTGATTTGCCTAGGGTCACACAGCTAGTAAGTGCCAAGTATTTGGTCTGAGGCTGCATTTGAACTCAGGTCCTCCTGACTTCAGGGCCAGTGCTTTATCCACTGCACCACCTAGCTGCCCCTTAGATTATATAATTGTCTTTTTATTTTATTTTTTTTAAACAGGGATAGAGATCTCAGAGACCATCTAGGTCAACCCTCTCATTTTATAGATAAGGAAACTGAGGTCCAGGAAAGATGAAATGCCTTGCCCCTGGTCCCACAGGTAATGTGTCAAAGGCAGGATGTGAACCCAGGATCCTGACTCCAGAACTAGTACTCTTTCCACTGGACCACAGTGAATTTTAAAAACTAATTTCTCAAATATACTAATGTGGGGGAAAGAAGGAGATCTCTAAGCTTCACTGTGAATTATTAAGGAAATGGTTCGTAAAAGTGAAGAAAATAAAAGGCCACACTGAGAATTATTTTTATGGTCATTGGATAGCTGATGGTGCTATCCAAAGATTTAAATCAAAAGTCAGAAATAATTTAGAGAAACTCAACTGGCTTTTGTGTTAGCAACAGAAGAAATTAATCATTTAACATAGAATTTATTTTTTATTTGTTCAGAATGTCAACAAATGTAGATAGAAATTTAGCAATTACTCTGAGTAAGGGAATCCTAGGCAAACAGTAGACTCTGAGGTTGTTCTCTGAGTCCCTTATCTGAAATCTGATGGTGTTTCGTTCCCTTATTTAGTTCCTATTACAGAAGTGAATAAAATATCAAATTTCAGGAGAGAGACAGTTGTGTGAGTAAAACAGACACTTTCTTCCAGAACTGTAATAGTGGCTGCAAGCGCTCGTTCCATTACAACATGATTTAGCTCTCACTTTCTTTTCAAACTGAAATGGTGGTGCAGCAGACAGAGCACTGGCCCTGAAGTCAGGAGGACCTGAGTTCAAATCCAACCTCAGACCAAATACTTGACACGTACTAGCTGTGTGACCCTGGGCAAGTCACTTAACCCCAGTTGCCTAAAAAAAAAGAAAAAACAAAGAAACCTGAAATCGAACAGTTACTTATGACTCCAGTCACTTGTTGCTACTCCACTCACCTCAGCTTACTGCCTATACAGCCTGAGCCCTGGGAGCAGGCTAATTAACACTTGCTTCCCTCTCCCATTTATAGTACCCTGAAATCTCTTCATCTCTCTCTATACCTAGCACTTTAAGTAGGAGTGGATTTCTGTACTCTCTCAGTGAAGCAGGAAAAAAAAAAGCCAGGCAATAGAAGCTGGGGAGGGCCCCAAAAGTAAGCTGGTAAATGTTTGACAACTGTCTCTCCAGAAAAAAGAAATGTACCCACGATACACTTTTAAATCTGCATTATTTACATTTTCTCCATCACTCTCTAAGTCTAGGCAATCAATAAAAAAATGAATCGAGCCCAGATTTGTGGCATTTGCTGATTTCCAAGGGGCAAACACACTGAGAACTGAACAACTAGGTTTCCTGGTAAGTGGCTCTAGCACACACCTGGGTGGGCCTCAAGTCGAGTGGGACAATTAGAGCTGGAAATGTCCTTAAAGATCATCTAATTCAACCCTCTCATTTCACAGAAGAAGAAATAGAAGCCAGAGAGGGTTGGGACATGAGCACAGATCACCCGATGAGTTCTGCAAAACACAACATCAGGCTAAAGATGCCCATGGAGGCAGGGTGGATTAGGGTATACATCATGGGACTCGGAGTCATGAGTGTCTGGGTTCAAATCCCAGCTCTGTAACTCTGGTTATGTGACCCTGTAATGCCTCAGTGGCCTAAGACTGTATGGTAATGACTGCTTTAGTAGAGGGAGCTCCTTCAATGGGATTTCTTTATAACTATTAAATCACAGGTTTGGAGTAAACAAACATAGCTTTAGAACTTGAAGGGGCCTCAGAAACTAAGTCATTCATGTGTCATCTAATAGATTAAGTAGCTAGGCTGAGGAATGGAGACAGTGCTAGCTAGACCTGGAGTCTGAAAGACCTAAGTTTAAATCATGTCTCAGACACAAACAAGTCACATTTTGGCCTCAGTTTATTCATCTTTGAAATGAGAAAAGCACCTATCTCATAGGGTCACTGGGAGGATCAAATGAGAAAATACATGTAAAATGCTTTGCAAACCTTAAAGCAATAGATAAATGCTATAATTATTGTTATTAAAAAATAGGTCCAAGGTTACTAAAGATTTTCCCAAGTTTATACCAATTGTAAGTGAAAGAGCTGGGCTACTCTCACTCCAAACCTAGTGATTTTCTTCAGTGTCATGGTATCTTCTAAACATTTACAAATGGATGAGTTCCAAGCAGAAAGGCTTTTTTGAGATTCTGCCCAATGTAGTCCTTTGGTCTTTTTTAGGAGGACATTCCCCCCCAGAGTTTTACCAGATAATTCAAGAAGGATGAAGGATTTCTTAAAATGCAACACAAAATATAGGCACAGAAAAGCAAAGTATGTAACAAAATAGCAGCTTCAAGAACAGCTGGTTCTTGTTTGCAGCAGACTACTGGATTGTATATAAATTGAATTTTTGTAAATGGAATTATATTTGAAATGTACTAGAGAAATGTGCCATTTGAAAAAAAGAAGCCTGTGGAGCAGTCTTGTCATAAAATAGATACTCTCTTTGCAATACCACTAATTGTCCTTAAATTTATCCATGTTCTAAATTCAAGTTTATGTATAATATGTTTGCTTAAAGCAGGATGTGCCTGTAAAAACATGATGATACTATCAAAATTCTGTTATCTGTGCAGGAAGAGAAGAGTTGTGTTTTATTCTGCAGTATTTTTATTGTGTACAACATTGTGACATTTTTCTAGGCAATAGCTTTACCTTCCTTGTGACATTTCCTTTGCTTAATTATGAACATTAGTTTGGTATAGCAGAAAGACCACTGGACTGGAACTCAGGGGAGTAAGACTCTGCTAACTTGTCACAGTTGGAAGACAGATGACTTAGTGGAGAGGGCGCTAGGCCTGGAGTTAGGAAGACGTGGGTTTAAATAAAGCTTCAGACACTTACTAGCTGTGTGACCCATGGCAAGTGGCTTCACCTGCCTGCCTCACTTTCCTCAACTGTAAAATGGAGGTAAGAGTAGCTTCTACCTCCTACAGATGTTATGAAGATCAGATGGGATGATATCAGTAAAACATTTAGCACAGTGCCTAGCATATAGTAGGAGCGCTGAATAACTGCTTATTTCTTTCCTTTCTTCCTTGGGCATGTCAGCTGACTTTTCAGTCCCAGTCCCTCAAATATAAAATGGGAGAATCTTAATCAACAGTCTCTAACATCCCTTTAAAATATGAGGAAGAGTAGAACGATGGAGTAAACTAATTTGGAATTTGTTATGGATAAGATACGTCACCAGAAAAAAAGCTGACTATGCTATATTCAATTAAAAAAAGTAATTTAGAGAAACTCAGATTTTTGTGTTAGTAATTTAGCTGAGGTGATAAAATTAATCAATTATTTAAAAATTAGATTTTATTTGCTGCAGGGTTCCAATAAATGTAAAAGGAGATCTAGCATTTACTCTGGGTAAGGGAATCCTAGGCAAATAGGTTAGGTTGTCTTATGAGGCACTGATAAGTCTGATGGTGTATTAGGCTCTTAATTCTACACTCCAGAGGTGAATCACAAAGCAGGCTGCCTCCTCTGTTCTCTATCTCCTGTGATACCCAATACCTTCCTTCTGCCTGCAGGTAGGAAAGGTGCCCCCTTCCCCCAAGGTGTTCTATCTTGGGATAATTAGTTTAATCCATTATCCTTTACCAGGAACATAGCTGCATTTTAACAAGGGCCATCTGGATAAAGACCATAAATAAAAATACCCTGCCAGCTCAAGGAAGGGGGTTGGGGTGAGGAGTGGAGATGGCCTTTCCCTGCCTCTTAAGTCACACATCTAGATAGTTACCTACAAAGAGAGGTGGCCATTGTCATTGAGAGATCTCACACCTAAAAGACAATGGACAGGCCCACGCTAGTCAAGAGTTCGCAGACACATCACAAACTAAAAATTTAGCAATCTAAATCTCCATCTATCTATATCTATCTATTCCTCTAACAGACATTACATATTCTATATGTATATTTATACTACATATTACATATGTATATACACACACTAGAAAAGAATGGAGATTTTTTTCTTTCTCTCTCTCCACACACATACCCACAAACACTCCCTTCTGACCACAGAAGATCACACTGTCTCATCATCCCTTCTCACCCTGGAAGATCACTCTACCCCTATGGTCTCTTCCTCTGATTAGTGAGTTATTTCCTGAACCTCCATTTTAAGGAAAGTTCGCTGGCTGGCCATGGTCACTCCCTTATTTCTCTTTGGGAATTCCATTCCTCATTCTCTGGGCTTCCACAACCCACCTCCCCTCCCCACCTCCTTCCCCCTTGCTCTTCATTTTTTCCTTTATGTTAAGTCTTCCCCATTAGAATGTAAGGTCCTTGAGGGCAAGACTATCTTTTTTTTGCTTGTATTTGTATTCACATGAATTAGCAGAGTGCCTGGCATACAGTAAGCACTTAATAAGAGCTTGCTGACTAGAAAAAAAGGATAGGCTAGTCGCAGAAAGGGTGAACAGTCTACAAACTTCTTTGGGATCCAGCTAATATCAAGGGAGCTAGAAGTAAGCCTCTGACATGTTGGAGGAAGCCCTTTTGGATGACTTAACGAGGAAGACAGAAATAGGAGCGAGTCCCTCAGAGTACAAATGGGTTGTAATCCATCACTTTTAGGCATAGCCAATCAATCAACAAGCATTTATTAATTGCATATTATGTGCCAA